GGGAGGGGAGGGGGATGTGGCTTACTAGTTATGACCAAATAGAAAAATTACACAGGTATTTGAAGTTATTTTGAATTGAGAGGTATTTGAGATAGTATGCACACTTTTGATAGTTGCCATTGTCATGGGGTGACATAAAGAAATATGCGTGAGATTCGTTGAAAATACGGTATGGAGAGATTCAAATCTTTTAAATGAATATTTGAGGTTATTGATAAATCTGTGATTTGTGAAGACCGGATGACTAACTCAAAAATGAAATTTCAAACTTTCTCAAAAATCTCAAAGACCAAACTCAAAAACGTCGTACAAAATGAAACTTACCAGAGCGTCATCGTTTATGAAGTCAAAACTCTGTACATTAGTTGGATCCCCTGTATTTTCGTCCACATTGTTATCACCTGTTACTAGCACGGACCTCTGCTCACTTAGAAACGTCTTCAGTCTAATCAGCCCGGCGTCAAATTGGGCCAACTTCTTAGAAGTTTTACCTAAAGTTAAGACGGTTTGTCCACAAGGGAAAGGAACAACATACGAGCTATTCAGCTCTTCACAAGGAACCGCTTTTGTACCCCTGTTTAAGATCTACATGCTTTTTTGGCTATTTTCTGGGCTACGAAATGTTGCCTCGCCCTCAAGCAACGAGCACGGATCATGAAAATGAAAATAAAAACATTTTGGTTATCTATAATTGGAACAAACATTAACTTCAGCTGCTTAATAGGATCGTTATTAAAATTATGAACAACAAGTGCTGCTCAAAAACAACAAATTTAGCTAACCTGCTTTTGTCTCAGTAGAACTATTAGCAATTGAAAACATGGCATGAAATTTTCTGATTCTCTGAGTAATTACATAATAGTATACTCTAAAGAAACGACAGTTTAATTGCGAAAAAATTGAATGCATCAAACCTTCGGAGGCAACGAGATCTTTCTCGGCTTGCGCAATCAGTTCGTGTAGAAGTTCGGCTCTGTCGGGAATAGTGCGAGGCAGGTCAAGGGCAAAGCGTGGGAAGATACCTCGACCTCTAACAGTGATTTCAACAGGTTCAAAATGCGACACTTGGATCTAAAACACAAACAAAATCGACTAGTTTCTTAACGAAATCGCATCAGATACAGATTAAACGAACAATTCGAGCATAAATATTGAAAACAGCAATAGTTCAGAAAAAAAAACGAAACATATGAGAAAGTGATTTTTTAAATGTTTTTTTTTTAATACTCATTTTAAGCTCCTCGAGAACATGAAGCCTTTCAATTTGAGATTTCACCCTTTTTCTTCAATTAAGCTTTCGTGACATCAAAAATTACGTTTTATTTTAATAATCAATAATTATTCAGCTATTTTCTCTGAACGTTTTTTTTAAAATTTGGATGTTTACCTTGAAGCTCTTCGAAAAAGCATCCGGCACTCCAGGTAAGAACTTGAACTTGACAGTTTCTGAGCTGTAATCAGTGATAACTCCAGTCGGATTCTCCACAATGGGACAACCCACATACACATTGTCTCCCAGCTGCTCAATTGAGGCACACCTGTAGCTCAGTTCTACTTTGCTAGTGTTTGAGACTACTATTTCACTCTCACAAATCTCGTCCACGCGCTGAAAAAACATATGAACCTTTTTGGACTGTACACTATACTTTGAAATCACTTAAAATACCTGAATGTATATAAGAAGAAATTACTTACTAGGCCTGAATGTTCAACAACACTAATGTATCCGCAGTTGTTATTTTTAAATCAAAACCTTGAATTCAAAATGAAATTGTCTCAGCAATTGCTAAATTGGCAATTTCAGAAATTTCATCTGCTTTGAACTTTTTTGTAAATTCAGGAAAATCCAGTAGATTTTTTTTGTAATTTTGAAACAACAAAAAGTATCAAAAATTTACGAAATAATTTACAGAATGTAATAATAGTAAAAATAAGTTCACTAAAAACTGTAACTTTTTATTGAGGAAACAAACTTAAATAAACACTTTGAACTCGACTATCATAATTGCGTTTTTTGGTCCCAAAAACTAAAACATGGCCAACAGACAATTGGAAAAGAGCCACTAAACGCAAGTAAACAGAAAAAAAAATAAGGACTTACTTTTTAAAAAAATTTCAATTTTCGAATTTCAAATACAAAAATAGATGACCTTTGAACGGCCATTAAAACTCTTAGAATTTCTAGAACAGTTTGTGATTGATACTTTTCGATAAAATTGACCCAATTTGAGAAAACTGAAACAATAAGTAAAATTTTTAATTCGCTTGAAAATCTGAAAGTTGAAACCCTCGTTTGAAACTAGAAGTTCCAATCCTTTTAACAAAGGAATGGAGCTGAACTGGAAAAAAAAAAATCGAAAGTCAAACCGCTAAAACTCACAGCTGCGCGTGAACACATTTTAAGATTTTTCCGAAAAACAAAACGAAAACCAAAAAATCATTTCGACCTATATATGAGTCTGAACTACGTTCATCGATCTTAAATTATTGATTGAACAGAGAACAGAGAACAAACAGAGAACAATTTCAATTTTTGGAAAATTTCATGCAAAAACTAAGAGCACAAAGTTCATGCGCAGGAGTCTTCGAATTTCGCCCGTAAGTTTGAATTTCACAATTGCTTTTTTGAGCACAAAAACTGAAAGAACGATTGCAACACATGATCAAAAATGTCAACTTTTCTAAAATTTGCGATTTTTATCCTTTTTTCTACTCTACTGATATTTGTTTACAAAGAGCTAATTACTTAGGTGCAAAACTGATAGAATGGGAACAAATGATAACAAGACTGCTCGTATCAGCGCTAAGCCCTGAATGTTCCCTGCCTTTTAAGGTCTATGGAGTAGTAATGACAAAAAAAACGATTTTTTCTAATTTGAGATTTTTTTGTGTAAATCATCCCCCACTGCCATATAAAGTACAATGTGATAGATTTCGCTCCTAGTAACAAATCAATTATGGGAAAATAACTTGCTTCAGCCAATTTGGAACGATGTCTAAGACGGATTAAATCTCCGCTTACGCGTTATAAGCGCGAAATATTGGCCAAAACGGCCGTGTTTAAACCCCCATAACTTTACAAAAATAATCACAGGTGAAACATCTTTTCAAATTTAAGCCCAGGACAACAATACCTCTTAAATGATAATTCAAAAAAATTTTAAAAAAATCTGTCAAAAATGGCTAGTTGAAAAGTCGAAATTTGTCTGAAGGAAAAAAAACTACCTCGAGCAAAAATATTCCGCTACTTTCGTTACGAAAGTCGGAACAATAAACAAAACAATTATCCCACTGTAGGAGAAGTAAATTGAGGAAACCAGCCTCTCAGCAATATGTGGTTAATTTAGTTTTTCTCAACATAAAAGAAAATGTTTTTGATTTTAAAAAATAATCTGTTATTTGACAAAAAGGGCGTTAGTATGATGCTTCACTCAACCCTTCACGAGCTTTTTTAATGCAGTAAAATCGACCAAAAACAACTAAGACGGACCGACCTTACGACATAGTTTCTTTCCAATCTTCGAAAGCAGTCGGAACAAAAATACATGTCATACGAAGACGAAGAACTGAATGTTCTGACTACCCCTTAATATCGATGGCAATTTTTTTTCTTCAAGAAATTGTTAAAAACGAGCTGAATAAAAATGTTTTTTTTTTTTGCTTGAAATTTTTTTCTATCACTTTCTTAAAGTACAAAGTGATATATTTTGAGTCTGGAAACGTTTTGACAAGAGCATATTGTTTGCACTATTTCGATTTGTGATGATTCAAATTGTCGCTCATCCTTTTACAGGACGACATATATCGCGCGTTATTTATTTCAATTTGGATGATAGTGACCAAAGTAGTCCCAAACTCAATCTCCTAGAACTTTGCAACAAATGGTTGCAAGCTAAATGTCTTTCGATTTTGAGCTTTGGCTATCAATATCCTTCAGATGACCTATTTAAGAACTTGGCCACAAAATACCAGTAAATATTCTAAATTTGTCCGGAGAAAAAGTCCCGAGCCCAAATATTCATTCACAACAAAAAAGTCGTAACAACAAAATATAACTAAAAGAGACCATCCCTTGCCGCCGTCAAAGTTAGACATAAACAAATTAACAATAACGCCTCTGAAATTACTTTCGCTGTTTAATCAAGTTTGGCATACCTGAAATCGCCAATTGGCTTGATTTAATTGCGCTTCACAATATGAAAAAATGTGGAAGTGATGCAAAATAAAAGGTTTACTGGCGACTAGAAAAAATTACTTAAGTCTAACCTTCATTCTTTTTGCACAAGAAGTTGTTGACAAAAGAGAGACTTTTTATATTGTTTTTGCCTTAAATTTTATTTTTTGAAGAAAGCGCATTTCAAGCAAGCATGTACAATTTCATCAAACTATGCTCAAACAGAGGTAAAAGCAACTATCCAGATAAAACCAATAAAAAACAAAAAGCGGACTTGATACAGTATTGGAACCTGATCTAAACTACATTTTATGATTGGATAAATTAGATATTTTACCAATGTAAAGTATTTAATATTAACCAATCATGATCCATCTAACTAACAACCCACTTATTTGTAAGTGCTGAAGTTACTTGTAATTTCAGCACCAGAGAGATTTGAATTTAACTTAGAAATTAGTTGGACTCTCCCGAGCACTTCAGCAGCCGCAATAAACCAGTATACCCTAGATCTATTGAGCCTAGCAGAGACTAGTTAAACAACCTGAGACTAGATAGTATAAGAGTAAGATTAGGATCGGTATTAGACTAAGAAGTTGCACGAATCTATCCGGCCGAAAATAAGATAGCGTGACGAGCAGACGGTGTACCCTATCCGAAATTACTCTATGAGTTAACCACATCGGTCATAACTCATCTGGTGCGACCAGTGAGGCTCGAACAAGACCTTAATAGCTTAGAATTAACCGAAATAGATTAGAAATTAGACAAAAACATTTAAAAAATGTTATACGACAATAATTTAATCGAAATGTCTCTACGACTCAATAGATCAGAGCCAATATTCCGAACCATAATAGAACTACCCGGAATTGGAAGAAGACCTCGAACCAGAGACGACATACGACAAAGTAGAAACTTGCCATATAGCTATATGATAGTTAGGCAAAAACCAGAACAAACTTTTATATTTAGAATACTACTGGCAATGAATTTAGATTTTCATTTGCAAACATAAAACCTTGAAGTTAATCTTCAAAATCATTTCAGGCGCTAAACAAAATTATTAATATACAATAACGATTGATAAAAAGATCTAAGATCGTTTTCCTAAAACTCTGCAGTAATATACAAAACATGTTTGAAAAATAATTATTGAAAAATAAAAAATAAAAATTAGTAGCATGACAATAAATGGTTAGTAATCATAAATCATCCTGTTGTTCCAGCTCCATCACCTAAAACATAACAGCAATCATAAACCCACTAATATCATCAAAACACTAAATCTTTCCTTTACACACATTTAAAATTTTATTAAAACTTAAATTCACTTAATTTTAAAACCAGATCATCAAGGCTTATCCTTGGATCTTAAATCATTTTCTACTTAATTAAATTTCAAATTTGATCATCAAGGCTTATCCTTGGATCAAACAGAACAACTTTGTTCTCCCCCACCCACTTAATTAGTGTCTAACGACCTCAAACGTCGATTCACTACCCAACCCTTTCTAAAGACCTAAGACTAATAGAAATTTTTAAACAAAACTAATCATTCAAGTTAGGATAAACAGTGAAGAACTTCGGTTATTCATCCTTCACTTGACCCCCCCTCTTACCAGACCCAGGATAAATCTTAGACTTAGTAAGTTTAAAATAGTATCTAACGAACTACTCGCGTTCTAATTATACCTGAACCTTGTGGATCGATTTACTATTCTCCAACCTTGAACACAATCACTACCCCTAAGTAAGATTAAGTAAGTTAACACCTTAACTTATACTAGCCACGAGAAAGTAAAAAATCATTCTTCGGAATCGATATACTTTTCTCTCCAACCCTGAACAAATAGACCCAGGTTAAGCTAACCAAAAAATCGTAAGAACTAACAGTTTAGGAAAATAGAAATCATTTAACAACCTTTTGCATCCGTCATCCTAAACCTTATGTCATTTAAAAACCTAGGAAATAAACAAACAATCGTTTTACACAATTGTGAAATAGATAACAAAAAATACGACCTTGTAATCACACCTCATACACAAACAGTTGGATACATTCGAACAAAACGACAAACACTAAAAAGAAAAATAATAACGAAACAAAGACAAATAACACGAAAAAGATTTTCAAAAAATCGAAACGCATTTTCAGAATCAGAAACCAACAGTTTAGACGAACTTTACAAACTAAAAGAATCAATAGATAAAAATTGCCCACTTCACGATCAATTATATTTTTCTGACTCAGAAACAACTTCAAATTCATCAAAAAGAGGAAAAAGAAGAATAAAAAAGCAGTATAAACACAAACCAGTACATTTATACAATTGGAATCAACCAATTCGACACATTAATAATTACATATTAACAGTCATCGAACGAAAAAATGAGCTCAACGCACACCCCAGGTGAAGAAAGTCCAGATG